CATTAGTGGTATCGCCAGTATAAATGCGCGGGGACCATTCACCAGGCGTAAGTTCAATTACTGGCTTATAATGAACAATCGAATCCGGTAAATTCGAAAAATTACCCTTCCAAAATCGTTCGGCGGCCACTAATCTGGGTGAATTATCCTCTTGAAACCCGCCATTAAATTCTAGACTATCACCGCCCTCAGCCCGGAAAAATTGCCCCGAGTATTCAACGGTGACCTCCTCCCACGAGTATCTAGGCCATTTTTCAGCAGGCTCGACTTGATTTGGGTACTGAGTGTATATGAACCCTATTGGAACTAGGTCATTCGTCAAATTTTTCACACTCAATTGTAAATTCTCGATTAGCAGGTCTAGGTTTATAATTTATAAAATTAACATGTTAATAATCAAATTAAGAACTTAATTTATATAACATCATAGGATAAACTAAATTATTTCAATAGTTACTTTGTTGCTGATCGTGGTTCATATTTTTACCTAGTTAATATTTTAAGTTACAATGAATGTTTAGAAAATTAAAGTATTTTATAATCTACTTTATTTACATACAATTTATTCCGATATTACCATAAAGGCACAGTTCGATAAGTCCTGTAAATATATCATCAATTATTCAATAATCTGGCTCATTTTAATTTAAATATTGTTTTATTGTATAGTCAGCCCATAATTAAAAAATATATTACCCATTGAACTGCCAATTTGATACACAGTTAACAGCAAAACTATATTTAATGAAAACATTTGCTTAGTTTATTAATAATAAAATTATTTAAAAATTATAAACTTATCAACATCAAATATCCTTAGTGATATATTCACAAGTATAATTTTGTTTACAACCTAACCTAAACTAATATAATCTAAAATATGTTAAGTGATGATTAATTGATTTAACATGTAAATATAAAAAATATTAATTAGTTTGTATAAAAATATAATCAATAACTTTTAATTATAATTCTGTTTTCTAACCTAGAATTTAATAACACTTGAATTTGATTTAAAAATGATCATTGTAATTCATGATTATTCATAGTTTTTAGCATAAATTTGTAGCAAACCAAACTTGTCAAATAATTTTCGCTTTAATTTTCAGTATGACTTCAAAGTTTTATTTTACTGTAAAATAATCACTTGTTATAACTATCGTTAATTGTATCATTAGTATATTTTCGCTATTAAAATAAATTTTTAATTTAATTATCAAATGGGCAACATGTTTTTATTGAGTATTGCAATAATATTAACTATTGACCAAATTGGTGAAACATCGGGTAATAGATTTAAATTAATTAATATATAAATCTATCAAAATTATTTGTAATGTCTACTATAAAGCAATTGATCGTCAACGTGCATAAAAAGGTTATGTATTTTTCAATTCAAACTGTATACATAACATAATCATTGCATTTATAGGATCTAATATTGTTTATTGCTTTGAGAAATGCAATGATTATGTTATGTATACTGTTTGCATTAAAAATACATAACCCTTTTAAGCACCTAGTGGATCAATTGGTTTGACAACATGAGTTTGACTTGATTTATAATATATTTGCAGCATTATCACTTTGCCTATTTAAATATGGATACAATTGCTATACTATGGACATAAATGACCAACAAGGTTATGAAAGAAATGATAAGCATGCTAACTATTATAAAACTATTCATATTCACAAAATTAAATATAATTAGACTCGCAACTCAGCACCCTATTGTCGGAAATGGACAAACTCGAAAACTACCTAGTACCTATAGGATTTATATACACCCAATTCCCCAATCAAACTGAGCCTAGTAATTTGTGGCCTATGTACGCGTGGGAGGATATTACCGGGCAATATGCCGGTACATTTTTCCGGGCGGAGGGCGATGCTAGCTTACCATTTAATGGCGGCATTCAGGCTGAAGATTCACCAAGATTGGTTTACATCAAACGGCATACGTTGTTTGATCGGACCCTGTACGATTCACCACAATGGCCGGCAAATGTGATGCCAGAAATACCCATTGACGCCGGTGCATGGTCCATGGCAATTTACACTGGTGATAGCACTATGGATTCGGCTAGGACATTTGAGTTTTTTAATGTCTTGGTTAATGATGTGGAGGTTACGCCCCGGAATCAGGCGATTCGTATTTGGACCCGCGTCAAATAAGTATATTGATATGGGTGTTACCTAAATTACCTGGAATCAATGTAAAAAAGTTAATAACTTATAATTTTAATTTATATGATGCTGAAATCTATTTTAAAAATAACTATAAACCTTTCAAAAATATATTCAAGTCAAAATTCAGAATTGGGATTACTTTTATTTTTCTGTATTAAAAATTATAAATTTTTTGTTTATTACAAATTTTACTAATTATCGTAATATTTATTAGTAATAAAAATCAAATACAATTAATTAAAATACTGAATACTGAATGCCAAAATCTATATTTACAAAAATCATGGAATTTATGCAATTTTTATAATATTTAATGAAAATTCACCGTGCTCAACAGTCATTGTATTCAAATTAAATATTGTATACATAATTTTAAGATAATAATTGTTTTAGTATCATAATATTAGTAACATATTTTATTAAATTAGTGTGCATGCCAAATAGTATTCGGTTTATTATTAAAAATTAAATTTTGCTATTGCAAACACATAATATTCGGTATATTATATAGTATATTTAAAGAATTTATTAAATTATATTGATATTAAATTCTTACTAACATAAAATCATACAATTTATTCAGTAAAGATTTAAATATTTAGTCGTTAACAACAAAATATTTAAAGCTTAAAACATTGTAGCGATCTATTTGTTATGATATTTAAAATATATGATTATAATAATGTTTGTCAAAGCATATAATGAAATGTTTATTAAAATATGAAATGTTGTAAATGTAAGTGATATGTAAATTCATGGCTACTACTGTACATATCCTGTATTTATGTGTACCCAGACATATTTTTAAATATTTCTATGATAAGCAAGTTAAAGTTTTAAAAATATGTTAAGAAATTTTGACACCCGATATAGATTTTAATTACAAGTACAATTATATAAATAAAAAGAAAATATTAATATACAGTTTAATAAAATGTATATTGTAAAATAAAACATGCTAATTATTATACCATTTATTTGAAATATAATACAGTTGTATAAAATATTTTAATTTATTTGAACTTAAAATGTTTTGATTTAATAATGTAAAATAAATATATTCATTTAAAATAAAATTTATTGCTTAAAAATCATTAATAAAATCATTTAAAAAATTAATATTTTTTTTAGTAAAACAAGTTTTTTAAAAATAATATTTTTTGGACATCAATAACACTTATAATTAAGGTATTTATGAAGTAATTATTAATTTAAAATTTAAATTATTATACAGTTTTATGTATTATAAAAATTAATTTAAAACTTTACAAAAATTACATCTATGTGTAATATAGTTTAAACTGCTGCGTTTGACATTGAATTCACCAAGGTCACCTTTCTAAAATATTTAATGCAATTTTTACGTAATAAAAACAAAAATCTTACCATTTTTTATGTTTTACATTTTTTTTGTAAACAAATCAATTATTATATTTCAAAAATTATCCCTATTATTGTCAGTTAGTGTGTGTGTGAGTGAGTGAGTGAGAGAGAGAGAGAGAGAGCTAATGAATTAACACAAAAATATCAAATATCTGTCATTACAATAATATTCAGTATAACCTTATATTGAATAATTAATTGTCAACTTAAAAATGATTTGCACAGACATTTCAATGGGTTACTCAATAATCATCGTATGATAATATTTTTATAAGCAATTTACTTATAAATATAAATCTTAAATATTTATATTTGTCCTTGTTTACTACACCAATGACTTTCAATGGGATTTCACTTTTTTCGCTAGCATTCAATTCGTATAGTATTTGCATTGAAATGTTTTTCAATGTTAAACACAAGTCATAGATATCCGTGAATACAGTCAATGCTCGCTATACTGATGTATCAATACATATATTAAAAACTTGTTTTTACTAGACTTTGATAAAATATTTGATAATTATATTGATGCCAATAATAGCACTGTAAATAACTATCATACTGGGTACTTACTTAAAATTATTTTATTATCATTACTCCAAAACTCCATTAGCTATAAATACCACACAAACTGTATGATAAACCTTTAGTCGTATAATATCTGTCCACTAAAAGCTGTAGTTTATAAAATAAAACCTACATTTCATTTAACCCAGAGATTAATTTAGTGATAATAATTTAGTTATCTCGGTTACTTAACTCACGTGTGGTTATGACTTTTTGAGGGGCAAATAAAAGTCACTTTTTAAATAATCATTTCTATTTCGCCCGCAAACTGTAAAAGTTATATAAAATAAAACATTTTTCCAAAAGTTTGCTATAATATAGTTTGCAAAAATGTATTTGTCACTCGCTGTATTACTTTGCGTAGCATGCACAATTTACATGGTAAATTGCCAGGCTGCTTCAAACAAGGCATTTTGCAAGTCCAGTACCAGTGCTGATACGTGCTTGATGCATTTATTACTGATTGGTGACCCTAAATACGTGTTCCCGGAAAATATGGACAGTATGAATAAACAGTGCAGGTAAGAATAGTTTTTTTGAATAACTTACATGGGTCATTTAGAGTTAAAAATTAATTAACTAATATTTCAATAATTAATAGCGGGGTTAAATCGTACGAAAAATGTATCAAGGACTACGCGAGCAAGTGCCTACCCTCATTTCCAAAACAAGTGACCAGTGTCATGGCATATGGTAAGTTTATTTTTTGAATATATTTTATTTTTTGAATATATTTTATTTTTTATTATAATAAACATTTTAATTAAATACAACTACAGGGGTGGCCAAAACTAACAAGGGCTATTGCTCTAACAAACGCCGCAAGGAGGCATTCATATCTATTGGAAAGTGTGGCAATAAAGTAAAAAGCAAGGTAGATGTGTGCATGAGACAGTACATTGATAACTTACAAGGTTCCGAAAACCACCCTGATGTCAAAGAAAGGATACCACTCGCTTGCTGGTAAGTGCACTGTATAATAAATATTTCATAATTTTATGTAGCTAGCGAGTAACATTTTAGTTAAATTGAGCTTAATTAAATTTTTGTAAAATTTTTTCAAATTATCCAGCAACTACTATCGTCTCAAAGGCTGCATAATGAACCATGTTGAGACCCAGGGTCAACCACTATGCTCGGAAAGTGTATCTACTGAGATTGAAAACATAGTGGACGGGTATGCCAACGACGTACTGAATCTATTATGCGGTGATTATACCGAGGAGTCCGACAAATGCGTCAAATTATTGCCTAAAACACCAAAAAAGTTGCCAGCTCAGAAATCGCCTAAATCATTATTACATCCACTTATTAACATTATTGCCTCCGTGCCCCAATAATGGGCATGGTTAATTATGTTATTTGTATACTTTGATTATGCATTATTTAATACACATACCATTGTAAACTTTTAATATCAGGTTCTGGGTATATTAATTAGCAGTTTATTTGGTTAAACAAATACCTAATAACTTGTAAAACTGAATCAACTATATTTATATGAATATTTAAAGATCTAATTAGTATTGATCTGGTTCATATAAAGTCCACTGTACTTTTATAATAAATAAAAAATTATTTTAATAAATATTATACAGTATTATTTTTATGACTTCATATTGTGATTTTAATTAATTCATACATCGTAATGACAAATTATTTGAAAGGTAAATAAAAATATAAATAGACTGTACCCAAACAAGTTTCACGATAAATAACTCATTAATATAAATAATTATACATAACAAATTAATTTTGTTGTTCATATTTTAGGGAAATTTTAGACAAATTTGCATTTAATCCGTAAATTATATTGTATTATAGTTATATAGTCAAATAAAATATAATATTTTAGTATCTACATTTATGTTTAATTACGTAGTATCAAAAGTATTTTTATATTAGTAGTCAAATAAAGTGGTATTATTTATAAATTAATAATTNATAACTTACCAGCATGATATAGGTATTTTCATTTTAGCATCCTGGTAATTTTCAATGCCCTGTAGGCTATCGATGAATTGGCGCATGCACTTATCGACCAGGAATTTCAATTTGTTACCACACTTTCCTATGGCTATAAACGAGTCCTTACGGCGCTTAGTGGAACAGTAGGCCTTATTTGTTTTTGAAGCACCTAGATACACAAATATAATCATGATAAAATAGCTTATATTTACGTATGTAGACATACCGTAAGCCAGGACATTAGTCACTTGTTTGGGAAACGTTGCCAAACATTTAGCCGCATAATCTTTAATACACTTTTCTTGATTTTTATAAGTCCTAGAGTAAATTTAAAATATGCTTGGTAATAATTTGTAAAATGATAAAAAATTACATAGTTTACCTGCACTGTTTGTCCATGCTGGCCATATTTTCCGGGAACTTATAATCAGGGTCGCCAATCATGAGTAATTTCATCAAACACGAATCAGCATTTGCACCAGCTTGGCAATCCTTTTTAGTATTACCTTGGCCATTTGTTACGTGTAGATTGTTTGCGATACAAATTAATAAAACAATTAGTAAAAACATATTAGTCATATCAGGCATCTAGTCCAATATAATTTTAAAATAAATGTAGTATGTAAGTAAAATAGGATTTTATACAAATATACAGTTCCCGTAGAATATTATTTTAAAATAAAAATTATTGGGAAATCTAGGCAATTAATTTTTACAATAAAATCGCCATTAGCAATTTAAATGAGTATGTAAAGTATGAATGTACTAAGATACTAAAATATATTTTGTAAGTGTCTATCATTATAGAATTTAAATAATATGTCCATTGAATGGTAATATTTCCAGAATTTCCCTTTTTATGTTTACCACAAAAAAAATATTTTTAATGTAATAATGATTATAATAGTATTATTGATGTCTTAATATTTTAAGTACTGTATAATATTATTATGAAACTTACTTCTACAGTCTACTAATAATTTTATTTACCTTTCATAGTGTATAGAATTTTTTATATGTATAATATTTAATTTTTCATTTGCAATATTATTTTTGAATTATCACACCAGAGGCAATTCAAATAACAGAGTTAACGAGCTAGATAATGTTGATTGATAATATTTATTATATATAATTATTATTTCTAATTACAATAAAGTAATTTTAAATATTAAAAATTATATAAGTACTTATGTAAACAGTAAGCATGCTCATTCAAACAATCATTTTTGCATGTTTATAACATTTACAGTGTCACACGTACAACATAATATCCCAGATTTAATATTTATTTAAAAATATAACCCAGTATAATTATTTCGGCACCGCACTCAATATATTAATAAATGGCGGTAGGATAGATTTAGGTTGTTTTTGAGCCGGCAACTTTTTGGGCGTTTTAGGCAGCAATTTGACGCATTTGTCAGACTCTTCCGTATAATCGCCGCAAACAAGGCTTAAGACTTCGCTGGCGTAACCGTCCACTAGATTATCCATTTCCTCGACGTTACTATCGGGACACAGGGGCGGACCCTGGCGCTCCATATGATCCCGTAGACATGCTTTAAATTTGTGAAAGTTGCTAGATAGTTGTATAGATACTAGTTGTAAGTTTATGAATTCAATTTTTTAACAATGTCACAGTTTAGCTAGTTTATTAATTGATTTGATTAAGAACTATTACTAATATTAAAATGAATTGAATGACCAGTTATAAACTAGTGTTGCGATTAATATAATAATAATTATTTATGCAAGTCCTGTCACTGCTATTATCACAAACTATGACATTGCTCAATAAATGCAGTTTACAAGTATAAACCTAGGATGTACACTTAAGCTTGTACACCTGAGCTAATCCGGGTCACACTATGAGTGACAAAACTTTGAACATTTTAACATTAATCTCAATACTGACTAATGATGAAAATGTTCACAGTTTTGTCACTACTAATGTGGCCCGGATTACAATGCATGATGTCATAGGTGTAAATTATAAAATATACTCACCAACATGATATCGGTATTCTCATTTTAACATCCGGATAATTCTCAGCACCTAGTAAGCTGTCCACGTACGCTCGCATGCATTTGTCAAATTGAGGTTTCAATTTATTACCGCACTTTCCAAGGGCTATATACGACTCCTTACGGCGCCTACTGGAACAGTAGGCCTTATTTGTTTTCGAAGCACCTATACATCGCACAAATAGCACCAGGGTAAAAATAGTTATTACACTTTCACGATACGTACCATACGCCATGACATTAGTCACTTGTTTGGGAAAAGTCTTCAAGCATTTAGTCGAATAGTCTTTAATGCATTTCTCGTGAGTTTTATATGTTCTAGGTGATAATTTTATAACCTTGTAAGTAAATTAATTTTATATTAAATAATTTTCTGACACTATACCTGCACTGTTTATCCATGTTGTCCATATTTTCGGGGAATTTATAATCGGGATCACCGATCATGAATAAATGCATCAAGCAAGTATCGGCGTTTTCACTAGCTTTGCACTCCTGTTTAATACCACCCTGACCATTTATCACGTACAA